AAGGTTGAGCACTACAGCTCTTGTGAGTTTAGTTTCTTCTAATGAATGACTGGTGGCACATCAAGAGTGGGAATCCTCAATGAAGTATAATTTCCCACTCCAACCCGCTTTTCCTTCAGTATAGGAGTGTAGAAACACAGGGCTGTAAGGGACCTCTAGAAGTTACCTAATCCAACCCCTTGCTCAAGGCAGGATCATCTGTGACCTAACCATTTCAAGTCAAGTGATGGTCTGACCTGGTCTTAAAAATTTCATGATTCAACAAAATTGTATATGGACAAAGCCTCCAGAACCTCTCTGGGTAGCCTGTTCCCATGCAACCACCCTTGGAATGAGAACATTTTTCCTAATAACCAACCTAAATTTCCCATGCTGGAATTCAAAACTATTGTTCCTAGTCCTGGCCCCTGTGAAGAAAGAGAATCATCTATGTCCAACCATCCTATCATCAGCCTTCAGGTATTTGAAGACATTGGCAAACCCCATCTCAGTCTTCTCTTCTCCAGACTAAATACTCCCAGTTCTTTCAGCATGTCCTCACATACAGTTTTTCCAAGACCTCTAACCCTTTTTGTCATTCTGCTGGACTCAAATTTGTCTGTATCTTCCTCGAAGTGCCAGGTCCAAAACTGGATGCAGTTCTCCAAGTGAGGCCTCACCCGTGCCAAAAAGAGCAGGAGGACTTTGTCTTGCAAGTGATGTGCTTATCAATACAACCCAGTATGTTATCAGCCTCTTTTGCAACAAGAGCATACTGTTGGCTTGTATTCAGCTTGTGGTCCACTGGAAACCAGAGATCCTTTTCTGCAGTACCACAGCCAAGCAAGTCACTTTCTGGTCTGCATCTCTGCATGTGATTGTTCTGACCCCAGTTCAGGACTTTGCTCTTATTCTTACTGAATTTCATTTGAGTGATTTCAAATTATCTATCTAGCTTATCAATGTAATTCTGAATTGTAACCCAACCCTCCAGGGGCCTAAAACTCCACCCAAGTTGGTATTATTTGTAATTTTACTAAGTGGGCACCGAATGCTATCCTCTCAATTAGTGGTTCTCAACCTTTTGCATAACAGGCCACAAGGGCACTGCCTGGTTTGTCTGTGGACTGGATCTAGATGGGGGTCCCAATCCAGTGCCTGGGGTGGGCATGGTGGGACCCTATCTGGGCACATGGAGGGGTGGGGAGGTAGAAGGCAACCTGGCCCCAGCAGAGGGGAGAGAATTTGTCCTGGTTCCACAGGGACAGAATGGGACTTGATGCAGCCCCAACCTAGCTCCTGGCAGGGTGCGGGGAAGGGGGGGTTGGGAGGAAAGAGAGAACAGTGAGTAGAGCCAAGCCCCAGAAAAGAGCCTGCAGAGGAAAGAGCGCAGTTTGGCTCCAACCCACCACAGGGCCTGGGGTTTAGGAAGTCAGCAGCAAGGGGAGGGTGGCTGTATTAAATTGCTAGCACTCCCCCACCACCAAATTTCCTGACCCATAGGAAACCCTAGGAGTTAGATGCCATGGCTCTGTGGGCTGTACTTGGCCATGGGTTGGAGACTGAACACTCCTGATCTATATCACTGGTGTAGGTATTAAAACAATAGTGAGCTCAGGACAGACTCCTCAGGAACTCTACTTGCTACCTCCTCCATTAAGTCCTTAATGACTACTTGTGACACATGATGATCTAGCTAATTGCAGATCCACCTTTCAATACTTTCATTAAGTCTATGTTTCCCTACTTTACTAGCGAGAATGTGATAGAAGACTACGGTAAAAGTTGGTTGTTTTTTTGTGTGACAAGAATCAAGGTATTATCACAGTTACTACTCTCCCCCTCATCCACAGAACCCAGCAGTGCCTTGTCATGGAAGGGAATACGCAGAGTGAATGTGACAGTCTGAACCCAGAAGGCAAAAATCTGCCACAACAGTATAAGAGACAGGATTTCAGTTAAAACTTCTGTGGATAGCACCTGATCTTACATAAGTTTTATATAATTTTGCAGTGTTTTTGATCAGTAAAACAGGGTCTAGCAAGAATGACCAAAGGAATAGGGACAAGATAGCAATGAAAAGGCTGAGACCATCAAATGTAGGTTTCTTTGACAGCCATTGGGACAGGCAACTTGTACTGTTCCCAATTATTCAGGGGCAGGGCTGGTTCACTTATAAGAGAATTATACATATACTGTGCTTTAATTGTTCATATTTAAACTCCCAAAATAAGACTGAAGGAGACTACAGGACACTTAAGGGAAATAGTAGTCAGGCTAGTTGCAAGTTCACATTTGTATGTAAATTAGAAATGTTATAACTCTGCTTTGCAAACCAGGTTTTGTTATGATGTTTGTTTCACTACAGTAACTGTAAAGTATTTCTTGTATCCAGAATATATGAAGCCAACCATAATCCCACCCACTCCCTCCCGTTCCCAGCAGAACATTGTCAAAAGCATCAATAATAGCAGTTATCTGACTTTTTCTTCAGTGTTCTGGGTCTGTAGTGACCAAGGAAGATTTGTGGATGGGTTACTGAAAGATAATGACTTACAGGAACAGAAATTTATTCTTCTCAAGCTTTAGCATCCCTAGTTTCCACCCCAAAACATTTCAGCTAGTTCCTCTAATAGCTTCAGCCAAGCAATTATCATCCCCAAAGAAGTTTCAGCAGTTTCTGTGGAAACAAGCAAGACTCTTAAAACAAAACAAAACAAAACAAAACAAAACAAAACAAAACAAAACAAAACAAAACAAAACAAAAAACAAACATTAAAAAGGAATTAGAACTAGATCAGCAACAAGGAAAAAAAAAGAAGTCTTTTATCAACCAAATTTTATTTTTATTCAAAACCATCTTGGCCTTTGATGTACATAACTAGGCAGGAGACTGACAATTAAAACTGGTTTTTCCTCAGTGTAGGTTAAACTGCAGAACTCTGTATCCTTCACAGGTCTTCTTCATCTGATCTCCAGATACCTTCCCTTTTAAAGTGCTCCAAGGGAAAAAGCTAATGTGAGCACCTGATTGACAGACTTGAATTTAATTCACTTTACACAGAAGTGGCAGCCAAGAATAAGAGAAATGTAACATCCAAGCATCTTTTAATGTACGGGTCCTCACCACAGTCACTTTTCCTATCCCACGCAGGGCTAAGTTACTAAGTGATAACTGGGTAACTTAAGGCACAGAAGCACTGAAGGCATATATACACAGAGTTGCTTCAAAACTTCAAGGCAGTAGACGTCTCAGGCCAATAAGTATTACTTGTAAGACATGGTTTATAAAGCTCTAGAAACAAATTATGGTATGATATGGATGACTAAAGTGTACTATACTGTATTTTACCATGAGCAACTACACCAGAAACTAAACATTTACATTTTTTACTTTGATTCAGATAAGCAACATAGAACATGGGAAGTACTCTACATTCTCCACTAGCATTTTGGTTTTACAGAGAGTATACTGGCATCAAAAAGAAAACATAATATATAATATTTAAAAAAAACAAAAAGCCTTTTCTTGATCACCTTTAATTAGGCTTTTGTGCTCACATATGGTATATGAAGGGGGAACTTAACAGATATTCTGGGTTGTTTTTACCACTGAAATAACTAGACATTCTAGTCAAATTCAAATCTTCCCCTGTGTGACAGGCAAGTTAAGAGCCCCTAATATACTGAAGCTTTAAAATGCGAGAGCCTTTCAGTTAAGTGTTTTATTTTGTTGCATCATGAAAAAAGTTTACCAAAAACAAAAGACACAAATGAACCACCCACAAAAACCAAAAACCAAGCTCCCTTCACATCTCTATTAGGGGCTAGCACACATTAAATCACAGTAACTAAATCACTGTTAGTTCATAGACTTTAAACAAGTAGGTATGTGAACAACTACTTTGAAAAGAAAGCAACTACATTTAAATTTTGCCAACCCTAACTTGACCCCTGCCCTCCCAAACACCTACCCACCCTACTTCAACACCAAAACAGGAGTTCATATACATACTTTTATCTGTTACCAAATCATTTTTATTCCCACCTATTTTTGTTTCTGTAGGAATCTGTATATGGACCCATCATTTGCATTTACTTACAAAAATGTCAGTGTACCCCAAAATATTGGCAATACAGCAAGAGCCCTTACCTCATTAAAATGTTCCCTCTCCCAATACTACCAGGAGATGGAGGCATTTCTGGAAATTGGTATGGTCAAGTTTTTTTTGTCTATGGGGTTCTCTTTTTCCATCTGGAACTAGAACCTTTAAACTAAGCTTTGAAACTAGGTAAATCAAGGTATAGATACTCTAAAAGAGGAGTAGTTTTGGCTGCATGTGTGACCCCCCCCCCTTTTTTTTTTTTTTGCGCAATGATGGACATACTTCTCTTTTCTACAAGTAGAGGCAGCCCATGCAAGACTCTGTATGAATGACAAGAACTTGGTTTCAAACATGCCATTTATTTATGCAGTGTTCTTATTTTTGCCTTAAGTTCAAACCTGTACACAAGGGATAAATCATCAAGTTAAAACACACATAAGCTCATTTTCTAATACCTCTTCCACACTTCTGTCTCTGGGCAGACACCTCTATAAAGGATTTCTTTTTTCTCCCATCCCTACAACACTATCCATCTTAATTTCTACAAGAGATGAAATGATATTATAATTTACATCTAGTGTTTTTATAGCAGACTTGCATTTCCTCCTCACTACTGATGTTCTAAAAATAAGTTTGCAAGATGAAGACTCCCACTACGTGAGAATATAGGTCAGAAAGCATCTCGCTTGCCATGGTTCTCTCTTGCTCCATATTCCATCTAGAGATTTTAAAGACTAAAATCTTGCTAGTTTGGGAGTTCCTTGTCATTACAAAAGACATTTATTACAATGTTTAATTGGAGTTACAAATAACTATAAAAAAAGTTATCTACTCATGAATATCATAGGAGGGCACCACTGCAACTTATAACAATTGCAAACTCAAGGAGTTGAGCAAAAAGATGAATTCTCTTACTATATTTTCTTTTCTCCCACCACTAAAGATTTTTCTTTGTAAGTCCTTGTATTCATAACGGCTCAGATAGCCTGTTATCTAATCACAGATACACAGTAAGAAACAAGTCTCAGACATCACTGCCTAAGTTTTTGAAAGAAAAAAAAAATTACACATTTCATCTTATGTTTATTACACAGGTAAAGCTGGGACTGCAACAAAAGCAAGCACATCTGTGCAGCACTGTTAACAAGAGAAGTGAAGATGAAGGGGCACAAACTCTGGCACACAATAGGCAGATTATACACCTTTGGTCCTCAGCATGCTGGTTCAGCCTGTGTTGAAGTCTATGCCACTAAATCTTCAGTGTCTTTGTTATGCCTTTGTTAACAGTGAGCACAAGATTAACAGTAGCATGGTTGCAGCCAGTGGTGCTGCAATTGCACCTTCAATTGTGGTGTAGATGAATCACAGGAAGAGCAAGATTTAAATTAACTCCTGTTACTGTAACAGTCAAAGAAAAGGCAAGGTAATCAAATCAAAAAAAAAAAAAAAATCTTTCAGCTGGAACTCTGAAATTGGACCAGATGGTGATCAGAAACTACAGGTGACTGGCACATGCCCACCCTGAGATTGGCCCCCCAACTCAGCACCACCCAGGACAGGGTAGTTTTTTTGCTTTGCAGGCTGGTGGAGTGCTGGGGGGCACTAAGCCACAGCACAGAAGTATAGGAGTGGATATAGGGCTTCTGGCCCACCCCTGGGCTCACCCACAAGTTGTGCCTCCCCAAACTCCAGAGGCACCCTTGCCAGAAACCTAACAGAGTACAAGGGTGATGCTATCTTACTCAGACTCTTACATCTTGAACCAGCAGAGAGCCCTTAGACTTATTTCCATCCCTGTTAAATAGGTTTGCCTGCAGGGTAGACCAAAAGTACGTTTTCTACATTTTACTCTGAAAGTTTCTCTTCAAGTTAACCTAATATATTTTGTTCTTTGTACCTCAAGAGCTTATTGAGATAGCTTCCTCCATTTATTAGCATCTTGATAGGAAAAAATCTTTGAAGGCTTCCAGTTGTAAGCATCCTGAACCCCCACTCTAAATCTATTTTTTCTAATTCAGTTGCATCAGCCTGAGGTGTTAAACCACACAGACATAGAAGTGTGAACTCTTCTCCCAAGGAGGCAGGCAGCTCCGCAAGACATTCAGGTGAACAAGAGCAAGTAATCAAGGGGTTCTCAGTAACCTCTTTGAGAGGATATTTAGGGCTTCCATGCTGAAATCATTGTTTCTAGAAGATGGCTGGACGCAGTCAGATTTACACCAGGTCTGCACAGAGACATCACATCAGAACACCTAGGGAGGACTGCAGTATAGAAGCGTAAAATAGGAATGTTTTCTTAAGCTCATGTAACAACACTGAAGGAAAACTGTATGTGTCCAAAGTCAAACCAGCCAAATTAATTCTAAGTCTATGAGCCATTCAAGAGCTATACACAGCTCTACTATCAGCAAACATCCTCTACCCCCACCTGGGGCTTCAGATGCTTCCAAATCCTTTGGCAGGGTTCCTACATGCAGGCCCAAGCCTATGGACTTGGGGTTTGGATGCCCCTGAGTTTTGCTTGTCCTCAGCCGTACAGCTGCAGAAGCAACCATGGGAAGAGTAATTTCTATAAAGTCAGTGTGTAGCTGGAAGTTGGCCAGTGGGAAGCTAACCAGGAGGCTCTCATAGGGAGTCCCATCTGCAAGCAGACAAGGGTGCAACCCTCCACTACTCAGTGCCATTTTAGTTATTACCTTGGCCAGGCCACTTCTCCTGCCACCACTGCAGTCAAGTTATTTTCCCCACATCAGACTTATCTGTATATATTTCACCTTCATTCCCAACTACATTAAGCCCCAAGAGGCTGGATCTAGAACAGGCTCCCCCAACAGAAGGAGGTACGGCAGCATTGCAAGCCTCCTGTCAACAGCAGCGAGCAGAGGAGTTTAACTCGGTGTCTTGAACAGAGGTACGTTGCTTCACTTCCAAGTCAGACTGCTTCACCCATAAGGCACAAAACCCAGGGAGAAGGGAAACAAAAGGGCTGACTGCCCCAACCGCTGCCTGCCCGATCTCCCCGGCACCGGCCAAGGGCTCTGCTAGGGGCCTGATCTCAGGGGTGAGCTAGGAGGACACTCAAGCAGCACATCGTGCCTCCCATCGGGCAGGGGACGCGGCCGCAGGATCTCAGGGCCGAGAAGCCCCACGGCTCAGGTAACCCCTCGCCCCAAACGGGAGGGAAGGAAAAAAAAAAAAAAAAAAAAAAAGAGGAAGGAGAGGGAAGGAAGGGGGACATGCCGCGGGCTCCGTGCAGGCCTCGCGGGGACCAACCCCGGGGGAGCTCGGCGCCCCTGCAGGAGCGCGTGGAGGCGGAGCGCTAC